TTGCTAAGAGATGGGAGGTTGCCCGTCGCTATGTCCACTTTTATGGCCTTTTTGTTACTGCAAAAGGACCCTCCTCCAGTGGAGGAAAGGGGGGCGACAGGCAGGCTGGGGCTTAGAGGTGGGGGCAGAAGGAAGGGGGTGGTCTCCTCCCCCTAATTAAACCCTGTCAACTGGGTTTAATCTATTGTTGCGAAGGTCTCTTTGTTCAGGAACAAGGAAGCCGTTCCCCTGGGTGGGGTGGTGGTTGGAACCGGGAATCCGCGGTAGAGTTTCAGCCTGCTCTCCCTTCCCTGACGTTGAGCTCTCCCAGTGGAAAGGCCGACCTGTTTCAGCAAGGGATGCTCTGGCGCTTTGCACAGTGGGCTGTGTGTTGAAATTCGCATTTGTTCCAGGTGGGGAAGGGATGAAAAGAGACGAGTGGATAAAAGATGCTGTTTCAGAGGTCTGTCAGCCCCCTGCTCCACAGGCCCCCCGTGGCAGAGGCATGCTGGTTATTTTTCCTGCACTGGAATTGAGGCACGTCTGGCTTTTGCACATGGGGATGGTCATTTTCAGAGTGTCAGTTCTCAGACCCGGGAGGGACTGAACTCCAGCAGTTGGCTTAGCAGCCGCCATTTTGGTCCGGGGTTCTTCTACCACAAGGTCTGCCAGATGTGGTGGTGGCTCGGTGCGCAACCGATAAGGTGGGCGCCAGGGAGGGCTTCCCTGCCCCTTCTCCACACAGACCGACTTGATACCCCAGGTGTGTGGGAAATCCAGAGGCCATCCTTGGCCTGGTGGTCTTTATTCCAGAGGGAGCCCTTGAGGTGCTCCAGATGTTTGGGCCCGCCTTTCCACTAGGCTGAAGCCAACGCAGCCAGTTCATGGGGATGATGGATGTTGCAGGCTCAAACTCGTTGATCGCTCTTGTGGAAGACATGAGACGCTCCTCTAGCGACTCTGACAGGACGGCAAGGCCTGGTGTCTGCCCTTTAGGAGCATCTTTTTCAGATACTGAGTGCTGACTCTCTTGGCCGCTTCAGGTGCAGGTTGTGAGAATCAGGCTGAGCGAGCCCCTGGGGGGCTACCTGAGCTTCGGCGTCTGATGCTGGCACTCTCCTTGCGAGCTGGGACCAAGCCAACTGCCTGCAAGGTTGCTGAGCCGATTACAGCTCTGATAATAGCCCTGAGGCTGGATTAGGCTGGTTGTGCTCCCTGCTGCTTATCTGGCTCCTCACCATCAAAACAGGCCGTGGCGAGATCTCAACCATCTCTTGGTCCATGCAAGTCGGAGTTGAGGCACGGCAAGCAGAACCCCCTGACGTGCTCCCGGATTTCCAGTCCTGTCAATGGGACCCCAAGTTAACTTTCGTTGGCAAGGTTCTGCACCAAGGGTCCTTTGCGCCGCGGCACACGGATGACTCGGTGTTTGCTGCCGACACATACAAACGAACAAACAAATTTCTGGGACACTGTCTTGGTTCTTTCCAGATGTGCGTTTCCTTCCCACCCAGAAAGTTCTACTGAGCTTATGCCACTTTTTCAAACCATGTGTTTATGGAGAGCAGAGCAGATACTATTGATAGGTGGCTTTTTTAAAATTAAAAATAAAAAATAAGTTGAAGTATATGCATATTGTATACATAGGGGATGGGCTAAGAGACTTTCCAAGTTTACAGAAAGTCGCAAAGGTGGACTTGGTTGCAGAATCTGATTTCCTGAGAATGTATTTTGTTTGGTAAAAAAAGGGGGGAAAGGGCAAGTTTCTAGCCCTTGGGCTTGTGCTAACTCTTGGAAGATGGGGAGAAGCTGAGTGAGGTCTCCAGGGATGAGGGGTCGGGTGTCAGGAACCTTCAGCACAATGTCTTGGGCCCCAGGACTGTCAAAACAAGCATGAATGATGTCAAATAACTTGTGTAAAGTGAGACACCCTTTCTCCTAATCTCCATTTATTTCTCTAAGAACGGTGTCCTGGTTCTTCTTTGGAAAAAGTGGATTTGTTGCTTCATCTGGCACGTAGCCTTCCTGTACGGAGCGGCATGAAGCCTTTCGCCGAACCACAGGTTTTATTCGGGCCCCTTGAGTCCCAGAGGGTGAAATGAGAATGGTGCTATTCTGTTGGTGTTGGTCATCCTTGCAATTGGCAGCTCATAGTTTCCATTTAATAGTTTCCGTTTAATGTGATAGTTTCCACTTAATGCAATAGCAGAAGCTCTAACGGTTCATAATTAGACAGGCAGACTGACAGAGCCCTGCTTGCAAGGAGCGTCCAGTCTAAAATAAACTGGAGCAAGAGGGGGAGAGAGACGAAGATGGAGAAAAAAATCACGGGGACCAGAGCAGTTACGGCTTGGTTGCAGTTAGAAAGATGTGAAGCAGAAACTACATGCTAACTAAAACAGAGGCGGTACAGTCCCCTCCCCTTTAAGAATGAAAAAGCAACAACAAATAATTAGGAAAAAACCCAGAAGCAGAAACAGTTCTTTAACTCAGTCCTCTGCAGACATTTGTCAACCTCACTGCCATCAATGCACGGATGAGGGATTGGGGTCACGGCGGCAGGCCCCGTCCTGCCCCGCCTCTCCACCCCTGTTCAAACACTCCCCCGCCAAACAGCACTGTGTGGATTGCAGCTGGGCTTGCTTCAAGAGGAAGGCTTGGGGGCAGAGAGGGGGGTGCGATCCCATCTCTCTCCCTGCACTCCCCCAGACACCCATCCTCACACACAGATACATTCATTGATTTCTCCTGGGGCTTCTGTGGAAACTGAACTGGAACAGATCTTGCACCGGGTGGGGTGGGGATTAATAATTAAAACAATTGCTTTGGGTTTTACCTAAAACTGGAGGGGCGCGACAAAACTCTCCTTCCTCCTTGGAAGAACTTCAGCGCCACTCCTTTGCCGATCTTGCAGTGGAGATGTTGCAAAAAGCAACCCATCGGGTAGACCGCTTTGATATGTTTCTGCTGTACCCTAATGGATTTTCTTAATTGAAGGCTTTCTTCCGAGGGGCAGAATTAGCTCTTTCTACTCACACTGCCTCATTGTAAAATTGGCTTTTTCGTCTCCCGCATGTCAAGTCCAGTTCAAGCTGGTCTGTAACAGGTTTTGGAACCGCAGTGAGCGAGAATCAGAGTTTGAACAAGAGGAGTTGCTAGACCGAGTTTTTAAAACTTGGCTATAGAGTCAAACCAGGAAATGGAACCCACATACGACCTTCTAGCAGATACTTTTTGATTATTTTGAGTTTAACATTCGATTAACCAAACCAAACAATTAACCAAACAAAAGATGTGAGTCAGAAAGCAATTAGATAAGATGGATGCATTGAAGGTGTAATCCAATGCATGCTTCAACAGAAAAAAAAGGCCTTTTTTGGTTCAGACATACATCGGATTGCTGCCTAAGCCCCTTGAGGCGGGGTATTGCTCATAAATGTGTGGTTTTTGGTTTTATGCAGTTTTCTTGTGAGCTGTCCCAGTAATTGCCGCTTGGTGAGTTGCACAAAACCCCCTGCTAAGGGATTACTAGCAGTTGTCCCAAAACTTCAGTTCCCAAGTTTCTCCATGTGGGGTGGATATGCAAGTTGAAGCAACTCCTTATCTGAGGTTCTGCTTTCTCGGTTTCTTGTTGGGACTACAGCTCCTATCATTCGCTCTCAGCTGGCCTGGCCATTCAGAAATGATGGATTCCCCCACTTTCCAGCCACCTTGAGCTCTACTTTGGGGGGAAAGGCAGCGTATAAATTATACGCCCCAGTTTGTTTTTTTACAACCTTTGTTGACCCCCTTTTTTTGCAACACATGCGTAACCCCGACCTCCATGTGTAACTAGGACGGGGGTGCGGTTCTGCCCTCCCATTTGGCTGGGACTTGGAGACGGGATCCTGCCAAGCCAGGTTTCAGAAATGGCTACTGCCTGTCCATCCTCACAACCGGGGCTCTAGCGTGGGAGGTCAGTGCAATTAGGGGCGATGGTGCAATCCCTCCCCCCAGCCCCATTGCTGACAGTGTGAAAAGGCCGTCTTGATTTCTTCTGAAGGGACAAAGCCGCCTTGAGGAAAGTGGGGAAGCGGTGGGGTCTCCCGAGTGCAGATCCAGTCTGTCTCCCATGCGGCATTCCCACTGGCTTCCTTTCTCCTCTGCCTCTCCTGCTGTCCAAGAAGGACACTGTGCGACACTTAATGTCTGTTCAACTGACCCCCTGACCTGGCATCGCTGGCCTCCGGCTTTTGTCTGGCGGCCATTCCCAGCCTCGCACCCGGTTGCTTCCAGTGTCATGGTCCCAGCCGGGCCCGTAGGTCACGGAGCGAGAATGCCGGGCAGGGTGGTCTCTTCCAGGTCTCCTTGATGCAAGGGGGCACAGGCCTTAAGCTAGAGCTGAACCCACCCTGGGCACAGGACAAGATGGCCAGCTCAGTTGCGCACCCCGAAATTGGCCAGAGTGGCTGCTGAAATTCACTTCTCCACTGCGGGACCATCTGGCACTGAACCCTTATCCTCATCACTGCTCTGGTGTCCTGCTTCTTAGCAGGGGAAGGAAGAGCTGTCCTGCCGTGAGACTTGGAGAATCAAATAGGAAGAAAGACGAAGGCCTGGGAGTGGAGGGAAAGGGAAGAGGCGGGAGCGCAGCTTTTCAAGGCCAGAACGAGGCGGCAGGGTGACATAGGGTGGCCCCTTGCCCTCTCTCACAGGGCACAGTCCTCTGTTTGAAGGCTTGTGGTGGCTGCAGCACTTGGAGAGTCCTGTTCTGCTCCTGGCGGGACAGACGATATTTCTATTTAATTAAAATCGCTATTTCTAGATTTGCCTCTTAAATCCCTGGCAAGTAGAGCCCCATTAGGAGAGCATCCCTGCTAGGTCTTAATATCCAGAGGCGCGCAGGAAAGTGTATGCCATCCAAGGTACCGGCCGTTCTGCGTTTCATGGATTAGAGCCCTTGGGCGGATCTTGCTCTTTTCCACTTCAGGAAGGCAAAAATGGCCGCTTGGGCTCAAGGTGGTTTTTTGATTGCCATGCAGGTCGCGTGCGGATCCAGGAAGGGGCTTCGCTCCGCATCGAGCAGCTGCGCACAGAGGACCAGGGCTGGTACGAGTGCCGAGTTCTCTTCCTCAACCGTCCGAGCAGTGATGATGAGTTCAAGAACGGCACCTGGATCCATCTCACTGTCAATTGTACGCACCGGGGTGTGGGGGGAAGGGTGGGGGGGTTGTTTTTTAAGGGTCCCTCCAGTCCAGCACTCTCGTTCACCAGCTGCTCCCAGGAAACCCACAAGAAGGGGATCAGTGCAGCAGCACCCTTCCGCCCATGTTCCCCAGCAACCTGGGCACGCAGGCATACTGCCTCAAGTGCTCGAGGAAGCATTGAGCCATGTGGACTACAGCCTTGCATAGTCTTCTGCTCCACCAATTTTTCCAGGGACACATCCCAGGAGTTCGCCACAGGGATGCTCATCCATCTCTTGTCCTAGGCCTCCATCACAGCAGAACAAGATGTATGGATAGATCCCTGACTGATTTGCAGAAACTGGCCATGATGTCTTACTCCCGATCGCTTGAGCTGCAAGATGACTCTTACTGCCGCTCTCCTTGCCTTGCAAAATTATAACTGCTGAACGGAAAAAGAACTTGGCATAACCAGGAACACTTTTTTTCTGTGAAAGGACGGTGCATGCCGTTCATTCCTGGTCCTCCAAACGAATTCCTGGACTCGGGATGTGTTCATTTTCAATGGAACTCTGACTTGCGCAGGGTTCTGACTTGTGGACCTTGGGGTGCTGGTAAAAAATTTAGCAGAGATGCTGGAAGCCTCAAGTCCTGCCCAGCCCTGGCTCCCGCTGAGCGAGAGAGATCACCTTTGTCTTCCACTCCATCTGCTCAGCGATTCTTCCAAACCATGATTGCCCCTCAGTAATCCCTCCATCTTCCACACATGGTCTCCCCAGCTTAGCCATGCTGGCTGCTATCCATTTGCAATTTCCTTAGACAGATGACCAGCCCCACTGAGATATTAAAACAGGAGGGGAAACCAAGAAGATCAAGCTCTCAGTCATGTGGAGAGACAGTCTTGTTTGTTTACAAGCAAGCTGCTCAGATCCCAGCTGGATTGGATCAAAATTCCATCTAGCGTCCGGCTTCCGACAGCAGAGACAGCATGGCTGGCCCATTCAACACATGCTCCCAAACAACAGAGCCAAGTGCATAAAAGTGAACAGTCCATCTTATGTGTGATTGTGCACTGACAATCTTGTCATCTCCAGTCTTTTTCCTGTGATAATATTTGACTGGTGTGTCAAATACAGTTGGCGGTTTTGCTCATTTGTTTTGCATTTTAATATGGCCTGATCTAATTTGCCCTTCCTGAAATAATATGAATATGCAGTGCAGAACAAAATTAACCTCCAGTTTTTGCACTTCTCTGAATACTGCTGTGCAGCTCTTTGTTGAAGCCCTACATATTTCAGGGGAGCAAATTGCATACATGAAAGTATGCGTTAGGGAAAAGTGCATGCAAATATATGGGCATTAGGAGAAACTGCATGTGAAAGGCATACATAAGGGAATGGTTTTGGCCCCCCCAAATGCATATATTAGGGAGAAATGCACAGTAAAATGAGTGTGAATGTTCAGGCACCCCAAACTGCATATAAATGTTCATGCGAGCTTCAAAACAACAACAGCAGCAGCAGCAACCCAAAACTGATGTGGAAATGGGAGAAAACAAACTTGACTTTTAAAAAATGCACATAGGGTAGAAAATTAAACATAATATTCTATTTCTAGAGCCAAAAGCACCTGTAGGGCATCGCACACCAAGGGATTCTCATGCATTGCCGCATAATATTATGCCAAGATTTCCTTCTGCAGTGTTTTAGTGTTGCATATACAAAGATAGCGTTACATCCTGACAGTCACGGAACTGCTTAACAAGCTAACACCAGGAATCAACCAACACATCCATGCATGTACTTGCGTCTAGGTGAGCAAGAGAGGAAGGAAAACGTGCAAGATTATGAGGCACATCTGTGTACACCTCTGGCCATCATGGTGTCTGTGTGAGATGCACTTATCGGGCAGCTGGGATTTAAGAGGGGTGGAATGGAGCAAGCGGGAAGGTCTATCAAAGGAAAGGTGAAATGCCGCGACGTCTAAGGACTGGCTTAGGCTCTCTTCTGTGGCATCTCTTGCAGCTCCCCCCGCCTTCCAGGAGACGCCGCCAGCGTTTGTAGAGGTGCAAAACCAAAAGCCCGTTGCTCTCACCTGTTTGGCAGCTGGCAACCCCCAACCCATGGTCACCTGGAAGAGGGACAACCAAGCCATCAAAAGCGGAGACAAAGTGCAGGTATGCTCTGTGTGTGTGTGTGTGTGTGTGTGTGTGTGTGTGTGTG